ACGAATTCAGATACGAATCAGATATAAAATAGAAATAACGAATTACCAAATTCCATATTCTCTTCTAGAATTCATTCTTATTATTATACATGAAAATCTACCCACCTAATATTTTTACTTCTAATCCGTAAAATTTGAATTTGTGAAACTACTTTTATCAGTCATCAAATCCTTTATTCTAAAATATCGGAATTTCCAATGGAAATACCTATATTCATATTTTTATATTAATTTGTGTATATATATATCAATTTCGAGATTCGAAATCTTTCTATTATTAAGAAAATTCAGATAATTAAATGATTTATCAGAAATAGTTCAAAAAATTCCAATAGTATATTATTCAAAATTTTGCTTTCTAATTAGAAGAAATTCTACTATACTCAATGACATAAACCAAGACTATAACATATCGGTATTAATGAAATAATGGAGATTACCGCCAGATCAAGGGTGTGTGATTTGCAATTTCGGAATTATCTTCCTAAACTAATTTCGAGTTCAATATTCTTGATCTCACAGTGATGTATTGTACATGTGAAGTGTGAAGACTGATAACCGAGCTTTTTGGCATCATAAGTCCTTCACCATCGCCTGATTGCTCTCAGGCAAGAGATGCTTGATTTTGCGGACCTTGTCCTGCCATCCCAGCATTTTGATGAGATCGAGAAAGGCTTCATCACAAGAGGCCTCACCGGCCCAAACGTCGCGAGTAGAATCTTTGCCATATCGGATGCCCAAATCTTGGCCAACCGGCTCCTTGTTGACAATGAGTCTCAAACAGTCCCTTGGCACCTGCATCACTACGGAATTGGCCGGCGACACGACCAGCGAAGTGCCCGCCACGATCAGTAGATCTGCTCCCTTCAAATCATCGAGCTGCTCGAAGAACCTTGGCTACTGAAACTGCGTCCGAAGAGGCATTTGGAATATCGCCCCTCCCCACAGCTGCCAAACCTGTTAAGGGATCTCGCTGCAATATCCCCAGAATGGTGCTACAACGAGTGAGAGCATGTGAACTGCAAGTAACATGTTAAAACGACAAAAGCCACTCGTTGGCATGAGTAGCATGCATGTCAGACAGTGACAGTCAAGTGGCTCTGACGGGAGGGAGCTGCCAAAAAGAACAGTATTCGGTTTCACAAGTGGGGCGTTGCACCGCGGACAATTGATGTTAGAGGACTCCGCAGGCGCTGTGGGGTCGGTGCGATAAATGTCCTTCACGTTTGTGCGGACTTGTGCACAGAAGTCATCAAAGGGCATCTCATAGCCACACCCTTCACATGACACTCGTGCCAGGCTTCCATGGACGTTCGTGACGAGCTCCCGCGAGATGCCAGTTTGATAATCCAAGCCGTCAATGTTTTGAGTGAACAAGCGCTTCAACAAGCCCTCCTCTTCCAGAAATCGCATGAACCAGTGTGTCAATGTTGCTTTCCACTGCTGCTGTTGCGTGCCCAGAATGAAAGGCCTTCGAACCTCGAGGTAAGGGAACTGGTTCTGAAAAAACATATCCTTCATGACGACATTGACTGGGTCCATGCGCATGCGCTTGCGTTGCGCCTCCGTAGCAGTGATAAGCTCTGGCCGCAAAGAGTCGTACATGCCTCCCGGAGATCGGAAATCTGGGATACCTGCGCCCGTTGATGCACCTGCTCCTGTCAGGACATAGACAGACTTGCATGCGCCGGACTTCAGGAATTCAGCAGTGCCGGCCAAATCCAGGCTTGCACGCGGCTTCATGGCTAATCGGAGACACTTTTGGACGCTGTGCTGTCTATGCTCAATACCTAGAGCTGGACTCAAGACCGGCTCAGTTGAACTTCGGGTATGAGCATGTGTTGGAAATCGCTGATCAACTCAGCCATGTGAGCCATGGTTTCGATTATGTGATGAACTTGCAAGCCACCCTCCAGGCCTTAGGCTGTCCAAACCTGCCAAACCTCCACAAGGCGCTTCAATACCTACCTACCTACAACACAACACAACACAACACACACACGCACGCACATGTACACACGTGCATACAAAATCTTGGCGCGCAATCTGAATCTGCTAGAGTTTCCGTAGCCCAGACCCAACTTGACAAAGGATACTCTGCTAAACAAAAGACGAGCACACTGTCCGTCAGGCTGCCAACTGACCGAATCATCGGCATATTTTCCTGCGTCGCATTCACAAACAATATGATTTGTTTCATCTTTGCCGACTCCTGTCTCTAACTTGAAAAAGGACTGAACGCAAATCGCGCAGCCCACGTGCAACACCATCTCGCTGCTTAACGCAGACCAGAGACAGGGCGATTCAATGCAGGCATCTGGAAGATCATGAGTCATGAATGAGCTTTGCTCTTCTCAGTGACACATGTTCACTTGGCCTAACTTCAGGGTGACTCTTTAATGTTGTGCTCAGGATGAACCATTAAGTTGCAGCTGGATGCACCGTTTACTCCAAGTGTTTTGGCGGGATAAACACTCCCTCTGCAACAGCCGAGCTCATGATTCAGCAGCTCCTTTCTCTGTACGCTGAGACAAGGGGAGAATGCAAGTTTCACTCGACTGCTGTCAACTATGTACATCGCCGTACTGCACTTACAGCGGTGGCCACTTGAAAAGCATGCCCAAAAATGTGTCCGTGATGAAGCTCGTTGACTGACTGGACTTCTGGACTACTAAAGCTAGGGTGCGAGGCACGATGCAGTGCTTGCAGAGCATTGTCTCACGAACACTGACTTCCTACCTAGCCGAGCTAGCCACTCACAAAGGATTTAGCTTTCGCTTGGTCTGGCCCTGACAGTGAACTGACTCCCCCACTGCTCAAGGTGTCAAAGGCTGGGCCTCGTCATGATGCCAGGATACGTTGCTCCTGTTCATGATGTCCAGCAGAACCATGCATCGCCTTGCGATGGGATGCGCCAGTATTACATACACTATACATATAAGCACAAAAAACAGTGATCTGTAATAAGGGCATGGATCAAGTTTCTGGCCTCATGGAGTCTCTCCCTTAATTCCTCTTTGGATCTGTACCTGCTGCTCTCGGGATGGGCCCTAGGCCAGTCGGGGTCACAACACGTGAGATGCTGCGACGTTTAGTTACGGAGTGCAAACATGTCGGCTGCTACCAGCCGCTGTCAAGACTTGTGCAGTGAGATTGGAAGCTATAGAATGCAGTGCATTGTGAAATCTTGTGAAGGCTGCACCGCAGGGCACAGGGGCAAATACAGCTGGTTGGCGCAGGCGCGCGATCGTGGGAATCCACGTCCTGCAGAGATAGATTCAACCCGGAGGTGGTTGATTTCTGAAGTTGCTCCATGGCTAGGTGCAGTCTACGTGCCAAGATAGAGCCAGAATCAGGACTCTCACGGTTTCCGATGCAGTGATGCCACCATGCAAAGCCCTGCTTCGAGAAATCCAAGTCCTACCATGTCACTCTAGGGACCCGTCTCCACTTGCCTGCAGTCGAGTCAGGGAACACGTCCACGTGGAAGGAATCGATACCTGGGATATGCACTTTCTGTCCAGGGGGACTCAACATGTGAAGTTTCGTCAGTAGTATCCCCTTATCTCCTGACACACCGACCACAGCCTCCGGGTGGAAATCGCGGGCAAGATGAAACGAAATCGAGGAAGCGAGATCGGTTCACCTTTGAAGGTGAAGCCCAGGTAGATCCGTGCTTTCGTAAGGCTCACCAGAACCTGCGAAACGCGCGCCTGATCCATGTCCAGCAAGACAGCCTTGGAGCAGTGTCATCATCGTAGAAAAGAAAAATTCGAGTGGCATATTTTTAGGGCAGGGGCCACCAAGTGTTGGTATGCCGGCGATTGTTCAGTGAGGCCACCTGGTTGTCATGTCACACAAGCTGTGAGAGCAAGGCACAGGCGAGCCGACTACCTGATGGACGCAAATGATCCAGTAGCTCCTGCTCGCCCCACCTTGGCAACGCACTGCCCAGCCCGATCCTGCTCGGGCTAATCTCCACGGCTTGATTTTGCCAAGTGCCCGGCTCCACGGAGTCTTCCCCACCTTTGCATCAGACTCAACATGGCTCAATGAATGCTCACTTCGTGACTGAATTCCATACTCCATCCCGCTACTCTTGTTGAAGCCTGAGCCGCTTCTGCAGCCCACTCCAACTGCCACCGAAAGAAAACTGCGGCATGAGGAGGTGTGGATCGGAGCATGCGACAGAGAGGGACAGCACCAGATAAGAAGAAGGGACAGACTTGCCAAGGGCCCCGGCATATCATGTCGCGTAGCTCCAGAGCACTGAAGGCACTGAAGCACTCTACGGGTATGACCTGTGCAGGCAGACGCTACTGGTCACACGGGGCTCTTGGAACATACCTTTCGCACTCGCTTCTTTGCTTCGTTGGAGAGCGTTTTTTCCGAAGGCAGGAGGCTACAAGCCTTCATCTTGTGGCTGCATTTTGTTCCGAGTTCCGGAATTACTTCTTAGAAGCCGCTTCGACTTCTTGAAGTCAGGCTGATCCTTTCTCGGATTCCTTCCCAAAGGTGGCTTCCGGGGACCTAGGCCTCGATTTACGGAGCAACAAGCCCTCCCTTCATGAGGCCTGCGCAAGGGTGTGAAAACACATCGGGAGAGGTGGGTGGCTGCACCCTATCGCGAATAGTAGCACTGCCTTTGCAACTATGATTCTTAGCATGGTTGCCATTTTTTACTTTCTTCGCAGAATGAGACACTCGAGATTACTCGGAACCAGTGTGAGGTCCTCGCCGTTGTGACGATTGGAATTGTAATGATTGTGGTCCGGACTATTATCGTCACTTCTATTGCTGTTACTATGGCTGTCTTATCACTCTGGCTACAAGTTAAATCGTCGTCATCGTAACAGTCGTATTAGTCGTGTTAGTTGTATCAGTCGTCGTCTTAGTGGTAGTAGAAATAGAAGTAGGAATGGAGCAGGAGTAAGTAGGTGGAGTTAGAATAGTAGTAGTAGCAGTCGTCGTCGTTGTCGTAGTAGTAGCAGTAGTAGGAGTAGCAGTAGCAGTAGCAGCAGCAGCAGCAGTAGCAGTAGCAGTAGCAGTAGCAGTAGGAGTAGGAGTAGGAGTAGGAGTAGTAGTAGTAGTAGTAGTAGTAGTAGTAGTAGTAGTAGTAGTAGTAGTATTAGTAGTAGTAGTAGTAGTAGTAGTAGTAGTAGTAGTAGTAGTAGTAGTAGTAGTAGTAGTAGTAGTGGTAGTAGTAGTAGTAGTAGTGGTAGTGGTAGCGGTAGTAGTAGTAGCAGAAGTCGTCGAAGTCGTTGTAGTCGTAGTCGTAGTGACAGTGGTAGTCCAGTGGTAGTGGTAGTGCTAGTGGTGGTTGTTGATTTCCGTGTCATCGTCGTAGGAGTGGTGGTATGGTAGTGGTAGCGGTAGATCTCGTGGTGATGGTAATGGAAGTTGTGGAGGTGCTAATACTAGTACTATAGTAGTAGTAGTAGTAGTAGTGGTGGTGGTAGTAGTAGTAGTAGTAGTAGTAGTAGTAGTAGTAGTAGTAGTAGTAGTAGTAGTAGTATTGTTAGTGGTAGCTTTGAGCCGCGCCACCTCGTCCAAGCCCTCTCGGAAGGCTGTGAGCTGACCCCTTACTCCTTGGGAAGCAATTCGCGTGCATGACTGCTAGAATTCTAACTCGCTGTTATTGTCACTGTTGTTTTGTCGCTCTTATTGTCACAAGTAGCTCTATTCCCATGATGTTCATGCACTGCCATTGGTGTCATAGTCATCGCTTTGCTATTGGAAGTGCATTGCTGTGACTAAAACTGTTCTTCGCTTCGGCTCATAGTTAGGTTAGCAAAAGTCAGTTTTTAGGCTTGGGGCTCCTGATAATCCCGCTGCTTTGTGCCTCCGTTGGATTGTGAGGTTGGAATTGCTTGCTTTGGCCAGCTACGGTTCTGAGAAAGCCACCATCATCGCACCAGTAAGCGTGGGCGAGTTCGACGAACTCCTCGACATTGTCGACCTGTGACCACTTGCAACTCCCTTCGCCAACCGACCACTGTATCGCTTCACTTCAAGGAGGATCTGTGATATCATGTCTCGATCAGACAATCCGCGGCCCAGGCTGTGACAGCTCGATCAGCACCACCCGGACACAAAGGAGCACCACTGAGGCCCGTCTCCAAGAAGCTGACCTTGTTGACTTGTCAACTAACCCTCTGCATACATCCGAAAACAAGGCAAGAGTGCCGGACACCAACTAAGGACATGTAGTCCTCGAAAGACATTGGCTCAGGGATGGCTCCTGCGAAGTTGCAGAGTTGCATCTGCAGAACTTGATGCTGCTCGACGGTAGCAGGCCTGCTGCCAGGAACCGTGTGGTGAAGTCGCGCTCCCGACCCTGAGATCTGCGCCTGGCGGCTCAGCACGTAGTCACAAGTGACACTAAGCCCCTAAGCCGAAACCCCAAACCATAACCAGACGGGCGTGCCAGCTCCGCAGCTCTTCAGCCGGAGGCCTGCCCAGACCTGCCTGAAAGATGTGGTCATTGGAGTGCAGATGAAGCGGGCAACCGCGACATACAGCACTTCGACTCTGCCATGCCAGAGGCCTCTTCCCGCTTGCGGCGAAAAGCTTCCTGCAGTTTCAGCGCAGGTGAGAATGGCAGTTGCGAGCAGTGATGCTGCGGCTGACTGTGCAGGGGAAAGCGGGATCCCCGGCCGACGTTGCAGACTGGCCAAGCTTTGGTTCGCTCTATGGCTAGCCCCGTTTCCCTCGATTTCTAAGTGAACCTCCCGCGCCTCGCCCGACTTCAGCGCAGCAACGAAATCGGCCAAGGTGCCGCAAAGCTCTCCGGCCTGGGGTCAAGATGGTCAAGTTATCGAGTCTGCTGGGTCCGATGTGGGTCTGGCTCTGCTTGACATGGTGTGGATTAGCATGTCGTTGGTTCCTGAATGATGCTGCTTAAAACATAGTCAGTTACATTCAGCCACCACTGTATGTTATTGCCAGGCTTTGCAACCACAATTTCCGCTTGAAGCTGGCAATTATTGTTCTCACTATTCGAGAATGCAAGAGGGAAGTGTCCGTCGGATTTACACAGCAAGCTGCTCTGCCAGTAGAACTGGTGCCGGACAAAGACGTGAAGCCACTTCTCGATCGAGTCGAGGGAAAGCAGTCCGTGTTGAAATGGCAGTATGATGCAAGGCCACAGCGAATATCTGCAGAGGTGTTCCTGGTGCACACATGCCCTCTCATACGCGCACATGTGCACTTACTCGCGAACAACAACGACGACGAAGACGACAACGACAGCAACAAGAACAACAACAGCAGCATTTGCCAGCTGCAAGAACCGCGACAGTTACCCTAAGCACGTTATCAGAGAAGTGGCCTCAGGCGGTGGAAACATGCCAAGCAGGCATACTTGTTGCAGCAACACCGCGCTTTTCAGGCCATAAGAAGACAGGGTTAGAGCGGGGGTACAGAGTGTAAGCATGATGTTTTGGTCCGCAGAGGCAGGCAGAATCCCTACAATGTCTTGTCAGTTGGGAAGCATCATGTTCTGTCACTACTACCGCTGCTGCTGCTGCTGCTGCTGCTGCGATTGCTGCAACTAGTACTGGTACTACTTACAACTACTGCTGCCACTACGATTAACTAGTACTTCTACAACTAGTCCTACTGCCACTGCTACTGCTGCCACTGCTACTAGGGCTACCGTTGCCACATATGAATAATATGCTACTACTACTACTACTAATACTACTACTACTATTACTACTACTACTACTACCACTACTACTACTACTACTACTACTACTACTACTACTACTACTACTACTACTACTACTACTACTACTACTACTACTACTACTACTACTACTACTACTACTACTACTACTACTACTACTCCTCCTCCTACTCCTACTCCTACTCCTACTGCTACTGCTACTGCTACTGTACTGCTATGCTGCTACGCTACTGCTTACTCCTGCTGCTGCTGCTGCTGCTACTGCTACTTGCTACTGCTACTGCTACTAGTACTACTCCTGCTGCTGCTACTACTACTACTACTACTACTACTACTACTACTACTTCTACTACTACTACTACTACTACTACTACCACTATCACTGCCGTGGAAGTGGAACAGCAAATGCACCATCAACTACTCTGGTATGCCTGCTGCGGCTGCTGCTCCAACCTGCTCTTATTCTCGCATTATCGTCATGAACCCCATCGTGAAGGTCCCTATCCTCAAGTTGATAATTATTATCACCCCTCACCAGGCTTCATCTCACTAGCAGCAATCACCCACCATGCTTTGAGAATCCAATCTTGAACGTCAGAAGATGAGGCTCCTGCGCAGCCCGCTCCAGGCCTACGGGCAAAGGCATCGGCAAAGTTGCTCTGCGTCGCTCGAGCTAGCGACTCTCTAGAGGTTCTATTGTTCTAAAGGTCTCTTGCGCAGGGGGTTCCGGGTTCAATTCACGAAACTTACACAACTTAAGCACAACACAATGGCGGTCCTTGGCAACGCTGCCAACGGTTCTCGCATGCTGCTCTCGTGCAGCTTGGCGGGCTTCTGGCCCAAGAGAGTCCGGGCAAAGAAGACCTGCCGCCGGGATCGTTCGTTCATCACTACGGTAAGCTATTCTGCCCAAGTCATACTTGCGGTGTCCGTCGGAGCAGGCCTCTCCCAGTGGCAGTGGGACAATGAAGCCGTCCTTTAATGCACGCCCCACCAGGCGGCCCAGGAAGCGGAAACGGCGCTCGGCAGCCTGTGAAAGTGAAAGCGGCAAATGCTTCTTGGCTTACGCCTCGTGCACCGACTCATCTGATCGCTGCTCGCTGTTGCTGATTTACTTCTATTTTGCTACTGGTTTTGGCGAAAAATTGCGACAAGTGCAAGTCTGCGATTGGAGGACAGGCCTCCCTCAGTGGGCTGGATTGTGGCAGGGGACGCACCCACAGCCCAGAGCGGCAGCGTAGGTGCTGACCTTGTTTTCTTATGCAATCAGCGACTTTTCCCTACTACCCACAGCCCTCCAAGTCTTCCCTGAAGTCTCGCGGTGTTGAAGCCGCAGGGGGTACAGGACTCGTAGGAAGCCGACTGGACCCGCCACCGCTGCCACTGCTGCCGCTGCTGCTCGAATCATCCTGTCAAGCGGCTTGCAGAATGTAGAAGCCGAGGGTTTCCCGCTCCCGCCCTCGCGAGCCTCGACCCACATGGGAACCTTTCGGTTCGTGGCCCTGTTCTGCAGTGCCCTGGCAACCTGCAAGAGAGAGCAAGACACCGTCTGTGCACCGGAAGTCCATGGTTCCATGGTTCATGAGTCGGAAGCTTCACCAGCATGCAACCAGCCTCTGCATAAAAAGACCGGGTCACGGCGCTGCCGAAGCCCGTCTCCGTGTCAAACTGCACCTCTCTCTACAGAGCCAAAGCCAAGGATGATGGTTGTTTAGAGGGCTTACATTAGCCGATCCTTTAAACCCTTAGACCCAAAATCCCGCCATTGTTTCAAGCAGCCTGGCCAGCTTTGCGACTCGACTCATGCGATTAAAGTACGAGATCCGGAAGTGCCACAAGCGTCAAGACCAGAAGCCCCCAACGCATCAAAACACAGAAACCATAGCTCTGAAACAAGTCCCAAAGCCTCCTGCAACACGCCCTCAACCTTCCGCAAAAAGCGGGGGGGGGCCCAAGCCCAAAAGCACTTTCACGCAGGCCTCCAGGAGGCGGTCCGATGGGGCGATTCGCTCCATCGCAGCTTCGGCCTTCTCTGATCGTACGGTCACTGTCAGGCTGTCAGGGTTTCATCTGGGTTTAGGGGCGCCTGGCGGGATTGTGCGAGCTTCACACAGGATTCAGCTAGGAACATCTGACACTTTGCAGGGGAGGACAGTTTGGATTGCGATCGCATGGAGAGTTTCCGCACAGCTGGGTTTGAAGGCATTCTGTGCCAGGCTCTCACAACTTTGAGGAGTATGCTTGGAAGGCTCGGGCAAGCATTACTTACTGTCACTGAACGCAATGCCCCCAAGTCCTAAAACCTCAATACTTAGATTCTATAACATCTATCATGCTGAGCTCGAAAAACAATTGTATTTTATTGCGTCATGCGACATTCCATTACCGCATTGTACGGTATTCTATCGTATGACATGCTCCACTCCTCAGCAGATCGGAACCTCTCCCCTCACCGGCACGAAACGCTCCTGCTGCAGTAGGAGCTCGTCCGCGTGATCTTCCGCGCTTCGCTCCCCGGTAACCTCACACAAATATCTGTTTGGCTAATTTTGATCATCACTGTCATCATCATCATGGTCATCGTCAGCAGCAGCAGCAGCAGCAGCAGCAGCAGCAGCAGCAGCAGCAGCAGCAGCAGCAGCACCACCACCACCACCACCACCACCACCACCACCACCACCACCACCACCACCACCACCACCACCACCACCAACACTACGACCATCACCATCATCATCATCATCATCATCGCCAAACCCAGCATCATCAATGCTGTAGTGATTGTTGTTAGGTTTTGTTGTTGTTGCTTTTGAACAAAAGCCATAATTCAGTAGTCACTGCAGCAGGGGCAGAAGCAGCAGGAAAAGCAAGCAGAACTAGCAAAAGCAACTGCAACAAGGACAAAGAGTAGCTTGAGCGGTTGTCCTTCTCTTGAGCCGTTGTCTGATTCATCGGCTTTCTGCTCTGGCTGCCACTGCTGTTAGGCTGTTATCATCAATACTTTCATTGCATTTTTAGCGCTTCTCGTGCTTCATTCCTCTGAGCCTGGGAACCTGAGCACAGTCGGCAGCAAATTCCCATGCTTGAGAATAATGTCCTTGAAGTCTTTGGTGCTCATTGTACCGAACCGACGCAGTTAGGATCTTCATCCATGTGACACTCACAGAAAAGGTGTAAAACGCCCTCGTACCAGAAGTGGCATCCTTCCCAGGCGCCCGGCATCGCAAATCGGGCTGTCGGGACGGCCTGGGAGGCGCAGTCTCTCGCACTCTGCGCTGGCAGCTACGCCCTTCCCTGAAATCCGGAAGAGCTCACAACTGAGTTGTGGAAGGATCCACAAAACCGCCTCCGAAAGTCTGAGTAAAGGCAGAGGGGAGGACCTGAATTGCGCTGAAGGCGAAGTAGAGTGCTCTGCAACGCACCGAGCCAGAAGTCGGATCTGACCACATGATCCTGGTGGCAAAAAGCAGCTTACGGCTGGAACAACCTTGAGGTTGAGGACTCGACATATCCGGCCTTAATAGGGAACCCTCGCTAGCACCTGCTGTGTCACCTATGTTCCTCTAGATTCCCTCAACCCCTCTCTCGCAGAACCATCCACAGTGCCCTCGGCATAGCCAGGAGACGGCAACAAAACGACTGATCAAGCAGGCACGTGGTGCCTCGATGTTCGACACTTCTTGCAAGAGCTCCTGCGAGACAGGAGGTGTCGAAGAGAATCGACTGAGGTGGGGGTTTTCGAAAATTGGGGGGTACCTTATTTTGGGGCCCTCATAATAACGATCCTACTATTTAGGGTACTACATTAGGGTCCCCTATTTTCGGAAACCCCCAGGTGATCCACTGCCAGGACCTCGACTTTGCGCGGGTCGCCCTGTGTTGCTGCACCCAGTTCCGTCGGCAGGGAGTTGCGGCGACGCCTGGGGGTTTCCGAAAATAGGGGACCCAATATAGTATCCTAAATCGTAGGATCCTTATTATAAGGACCCCAAAATAAGGTACCGGGCTTCAACACAATCTGGCAGTGGCACCAAGTGGGCCAAGGCACAGGTATGGCCCAACCTGGCAAGTCTCTACATTGCTCTTTGCTAGGCTGCTGTTGAGAATGTGAATCCAAGAGGCCTTGCTCTCTTGCGCCCAGTGCACAGCGAGCGATGGCCCAAGTGCAGTGTAGCGTAAGAGCATCTTTCGAGTCTGCAGGCCTCGTCACGGCTGTCCGTGTTGTCAGGTTGTGTTTTCTCACGACAAAATACTTCCGCAAGACAAAAAACTCCTTTCCAGAACGAGCCAAGTCTCTAAAGAGGAAAGGGCAAGCCCGTGGCAGCCTCGGTTCATAGCTTTGCATCTGCTCAAGAGCTTGCAGCCAGTTTTATGCGGACCACGATGACGATGCTAACGCTAAACTGCTAAACCGAGGCTCGTCGTTGCCCATAAAGGTAAAGCCCCACTCGAAACGCTGAGAGGATCCTTCGCTCAGGAGCAATGCCATCTCAAATCAAAGTCCGATCAAATCGTTTTGATGTTGGCGCTCCTCCAGCTGATGGCTCAACTTCCTCAGGGCAACACTTCGCGATGCTGCACATCCCTACGACGTTTAGAAATGCGCCCTGTCAACTACATGACATACAAGTTCCATCAAGAACTGCTGACACAGCCAGAAGACAGAAACCGCTCAACGCCCTCATCAAACTGCAATCATCAAGCGGTTGTGCGGGCAAGCAGCCAGTCCAGCTTGCAATTGATCCAACTCAGTCCACTGACCTTGGCATCGTCTTGCACTTGGAGTTTCAGGACTGCTGCAGGCCTGAACCCACACAGATCTTGTTTCGACACATACCTGTACAGCTGGGCACCGCGGTGTTGCTATAGCTACATTGCCATAATATAACCCAGAACCCTAGAGATGATCATGAAGGCACCTGTTCGGAAATCCGATAGAACCCTACAACCTCACAATATTTCGAACCAAGGGACCTGACCAGCCTGTTGCCAGAGGACGGCGAGGAGCTCGAAAGCTTCGAGGACTTCTTCGTCTGCACCTGAGTCGTTGCAAAAGCCACAGCACAAATCACATAATCCGAGCTTATTCCTTTTCTTGTTTTACACGGATCTTTATGCACACAATATACAACACATGTATCTGCATTCATCCGACTGAATCCTACCATGGTCAACCATGGAATTAGGGCGGATGTTGGCTCTGAAGAGCGCCGAGGGCCAGGCCAGTGCTGTGTGCAATGCACTGCCTCGGCACAGTTGAAGCGTGAAGACTCGGACCCTGCTGGCCCGACATAGGAGTTTCCGAAAATAGGGGACCCTAATATAGTACCCTAAATAGTAGGATCCTCATTGTAAGGACCCCCAAATAAGGTACCCCCCAATTTTCGGAAACTCCCACATCTGTGCCGCGGCCGCCCTTCCCTGCCAGCAGCCTCAAAAGGCGGCGGATCTCCGTCGGTGGTGCTGCACCTGCCAAACAGTCGTTGAGGCCCGGTGGAATTCGACAGCGGGTTTAGGGTTTAGGGTTTCGACAGCGTTCATCAATATCCATCACGGCCACCGCTGTCTTTGAGTGATCACCGACCGGACACATCAGGCCTTGGATGGTGATTCCGCCCTCTTCACCTTGGCACCAGGCAGAGGTCGAAATACGGTCGTGAACGAGACATTCCTGAGTTCTCTCTGCCCACTTTTTCTCGGGTGCAGGCCGGCAGGATGCAAAGTCGGGGACTGGTACAGGTCCCTCGCGACGAAGCTCGGAGAGCCCTTGGCAGCTGAAGCTCCGAAGAAGCTCCGGCCCAGGCATCTGACGCAGCCGCGCAACCCGGCTAATAACTACTACTACCTACTTCTTCTACTTCTTCTACTACTACTACTACTACTACTACTACTTTTACTACGACTACGACTACGACTACCACTACGACTACTACTACGACTACTACTACGACTACTACTACTACGACTACTACGACTACTACGACTACTACGACGACGACGACGACTACTACTACTACTGCTGCTGCTGCTGCTACTACTACTACTATTACTACTACTACTACTACTACTACTACTACTACTACTACTACTACTACTACTACTACTACTACTACTACTACTACTACTACTACTAATTACCACTAACTCAATCCCCAAAGTTGCAGCTCAAGTCACCTCCGCGAACGTCTGTGAGCTCGCCTCGGCGACAGCTGAAGGCAATGAAGAAACTTCGAAGGGAGCAAACCTTACCTTCGGTTAGTAGAGAACGAAACACACCGAAAGCGGATTGTAGCGACATTCAAAACTCGATCCTTGCATCCTCCAACTCCTTCCGAGACGATCCAGCTGCAGCCGTGGAGCCCGCCGCAGTCGCTTGGTGCTGGGCCCTGCGGGGCTCTGCCGGGGGCTCATCCAGGGGCTCCAAGGGCTCTGCGGCGCCAAGGCCGCCGGACTGCCTTCAGCTTCGAACCATGAGAAGTGAGGGCCAGGGCCAGGGTTTGCAGCTGGAGGCCAAGTAAGCCGAGCCCATGAAGTTGCGATGGCTTGGGAGCCACCCTCCGCAGATAGAATTGAAAGGCATGGTCCCAGTTGCTTGCGAAGCCTTCAAAACCCTCACGAGTCCACAGATCAATCCGCTCCCCCTCACTGCAGCTCGGGTACGCCCCGGGCTCGCAGTGACTGGCGTCGATGGCAAAGACAGTGGTGGAAGCATGGACCTCACCGTGCCGATTTTCGCGCACAACTCTTTGCTAACCACAGGGCCATTTTGATGTCCGCATCCCCAAACCTCTCAACAAATCCCCGCCCCAAAACCCTAAACCAACCCCCGCCCCAAAGCCCCTCCGAGGTATCTGCAGCGATCGCTCCGAGGGTCCCGAGGCTGTGGTCGAAGGCTCCGAGTCTGCCAAAGGCCTCGGAAGCTTGGCTACGGCTTGGTGGGTTAGCTTTAGGGTTTGGGGGTTATGGCTTTAGGCATTGGGGCTTGGCTTTTTCGGTTGACCTCCTTCTCCGCCCGCTCAGAGTCTTCGCAAACGGAATCCATCATGATTGTGGAAAGCTTAGGGCTTTAGAGTGTAGAGTTAAGGGTCTCTTAGCTTGTCAGATCGGCGCTTGCCTGCTGCTGGCCAGATAATGCCATACTGGGTTCTGAGTCCGAGGCTTTGGACTAGGGCCGTAGGGGATAAGGGTTCCGGAGTTGGACATCGGAAATTGAAGTTCCATTCAGGTTTTGGGTTTGAGGCTTAGGCACTTGTATGTGCACGTATGTGCATGATATATAGATGTATATGAGTATACACCGAACGACATACTCTTGCATACTTGTTAATATTTTCAGCACATATGCATGATACGTGCGTATTGAGTATTGCAGAGTATCGACTACCAGCGCCCAGGTTTGTGTTGAGTGGGCCTTGACAGAATCAGGTAAGCCATCAGCAGCAAAGCAAGCCACCCTCACGTAGGCATCTACTGGCTCAAGAAACAGCACGTCACTTTTTGAATATCTGTGTGATTGTTCTGCAATCTCGGCTGAAGCTTGCTTGGCTTCAGGCGGCAAAGCGAACGATTCCATATCGAACGAGTTGGTTGCCAGCTCGTCTCCCACTGCCCTCAGCCGCCATCTTGTCAACTATTATCTTGGCGACGCGACTCACACGCTGAGAGCCCGGCGGTTCAGCATCGATTGTTTCCTTAGTTGAAGTTATGGCACCCCCTGCTGGCATGGCCATCGAGTGTTGATCATCAGGCATGCAGGCACTAGATCGTGATTAGCCGTTCAGCCAAGCAGGCCAAGCATCGAGGAAATACCCGACAAACCAGTTCTCCAGCGGCACTTTCTCCGCTGCCCGACGTGGGAAGGCCTGGTTGCTCTGTGTTGCGCGGGGGAATGAATGAATGGTGACGTATTAAGATTGTTGAGACCTATGCAGCAACTGTTGCTGGATGCAAAGCGATGTGGAGCCTGCTGGTGCCCTGTTCTCCGTAATCAACCACGCAACGGTCGGCTTGGATAGTCTTATATGCGAGGCTCCGGCGTGGTTGCTCTGCAACTTCTTCTCCTGGATCAAACGGGGGATTTGGGGCTGCAACGCATCCGAGGCAATAGAACGCACGGCTGAAACACCGAAGCTCCTCATGGAATTTTCCTTCCATCGAAGTGCTCTGGTGATCCTGCAGAAACCTTCAACTCTGCAGAGGAGATGTGCTGATATTACGAAGCCTCATTCTTGTTATCTGGTGGCTGAAAAGCGAACGCAAACATGGCGGCCAAGAGACTGCATGGTTTTCAAGAGGCTCCAATCAGCTGGAAGGGCGGGCGCTGCTAAGGCCTTGCTCTCCTGTCGCACGCATTCGCACACGAACCCACGAGTGCAGTCGCAACTTCGACGACATGGACCCTCACTGCAGGAACCTTGCGAGGCGGCAGACCGAGGCGCACCTCGCCAAGGCGAGGTGTGCCAGTTTGGTTGGAGAGTGGATGTGTCTTGGGAAGCTTGTGAAGCTTTTGCTTTCTCATTCTCGCGAGCAGGTTCGGCACCTGGAACTTCGGCGGTTGCAGCCACATGGCTTCTTTCGCCTCCATGGCCTCTCACCCAAAGAGGCGCTCAAATCTCCAAGGACCCGAGGCTGTTCCAAGTCACAAGAAAAGCCTCGTCGTCTTCCTGGAGATCCTCCCTCCCCAGGCGCAGAGCCTTCGGACGGGACCAGGACCACTTTCGGATGCTAAAGCACTTCACGTCGTTGCAGCGATGCCGCACTGCATCGATAGTAACAACAAATCACCATAATGAAAATTATAGTCATAATCATAATGATGATCCCAGTGATAGTGGGCGTACTTGTGACCGAGAGCCGCGCCACCGGATGTCCAAGCAGCGTGGTCGGGTCCTGCTGAGCGGCAGCCGTCAATCTACCACCTCCAATCTTCAAGCACCGGCTATGCGCAGCATCCCCCCCAAAACGCACACACACAAAACTTAATTTACACGTCTCGAAACCCCCAAGAAATTGAAACTGAACTACCTCAAGCCTAATTTAGCATTACTCTCATTCTGACCCGGAGTGAAACGTCCTGAGAGTCGGCAGCGCGTGCGAAACTCGGCAGCTCCCCTCGCAGGACATCCGCCAAAACGCCTCCGGCAACTTATGCAGCAAAAGTCCAGACTCTTGATCTTCGAAGCCTACACCTACACACTAAAGCCTTAGCACTGTTACACGAGAGAGGCGGTAGGGGCTCTGCATGAGTTGGCTCACGGACGAGGAGTTCCGGGACAATCACCGGTTGCAATTTGGAACTTATTCATCTTCTTGCATAGTTGCGGCAATCAGCCTTTCACACCCATAAGCGCGAGCAAAGCCACTGCACCAGAAGACTTCTCAGGTATCTTCCGGCCTTTGGCTGCACGATTGCGTGGGGTCTGGACGGCCTGCAGACCAGCTCACGGCTTGGGATCGGCAGCTTTATGGGTTCAGACTCGTAAACGCAAGACAACGTAAGGATCAGCAGAGCTTTGGAGCAGGGCGTGGACCCAAAATGTCAGGACGTCGACAGATACTACGATTGGAATCAACCCAGAACGCTTGCCGTTCATCCATTCGATCAACAGAGGCAGAGAAACACAGAGAGAATCAGTCGGAGACGGACAAACAGGAAGAAGCTAAGGCAGGGCTGACGCGGCCGGAAACTCGGGCACACACGTTTTGGAGACAATGGGACAATCAACGCGCGGAGACACACAAACAAAGAGCCAGTTAGACGGGGCCACACTTCTCTCATAACGAAAGGGCGTTAATCCAAAACCCCTAAACCGGCAAACCCAACCGTGACCCAAGAACTGATCAGACTGACAGCTCGAAGGCATAGAGCCCAAATACCATACACCGACAGTCTTCAATCATGCATCCCCAAGCCACTACAGCTGCAAATCAGAAACCCAATTCACAGGGGTGAGCCCTGCGATACTGACCCTCTGGAGCTTATGAAGAGCCTTCCTATTTGCCCTAAACCTTAGACCTTGCGGCTCATAGATCCTCAGACCACAATAAGATCGAAAACCCTGAAGCCCCTAAACCCTAGAACTCCGGAGGCTTAAAGCCTGAAAGCCAAGTAAGGCCAGAAGGACCGGCCTTATTCTCTGACTCCTCATTGGAAGCGCGAAGGCTCGTCGCGATCCTGCGACCGCCATATCTCCAGGGATGGTTTGTGCATTCGAACGTCTATCATGGTAATTACAGTTGTGGCATGTTGTGGCTACTAGCTTTCTCTGTCATGCTTCTGCGCGTTTCTGTCAACCCGGGGCAGCACATTGGGCATTTTCTCGCCAAGACATGATGCGGAACGATCATGTCTTGGAGGAGTTGACGTCTGCTAATGCTTTCTGTCTCTCTGCAGCATGGGGACAGCACCTGACACCACGTTGCAAAAATTGCTGCCTTGCAGCACAAACCTCTTAGAACTCTGCCATGTCTTCGCATTCAGATAGTGGTCCTGCTGATCTCCAGCATGGGAGCGCCGATGGCCTTCGGTTCATGTCGGTTGAAAAAGCGCCTATGGGGCCAAAGCTCTGCCGAAGTGAATGCATAGAGGAGTCATGAGTGGATACTGCAGGCCTTGTCGAAGTCGATTGCATCCGCTGCTCGTCGTCCACGGCTGTGGCCTTGCCGTGCCCGTGCTGCACCTATTGCTTCATGGTTTCAAAGCCAAGGTTGTTGGTGTTTGCCATCCGGACTCAACCACAACATGTCAGTCCTCGTTATGTGAACAGAAAGAACGGGGATGTCGCTGTGACACCAAAACCAGAACGTGTTGTTGAAAGTGTACCTTGTAAAGCTCTGTCAAGAAATTCAAACACAAGTTCGCTCCTGCGAGACATCCACGAACCCCTTGGGCACGTTCACGGCTTACTTGTGTCAGAGTTTACATCCGGTTTGAGAAGTGTAAGACATAATGTACTTCATAGTTTAGGGTCGGGTGTTTCGCAGGCTTGGGAGAAGATTGGCAGACGGAGCGCTTCGGGTCGGTGTAGAGTTTGGGACCAGGGGGTTTCCGAGGAGAGCCAACTACAAATTTCTAAGGTGCCAAATCATGATTGGTGAGAAGACAGAAAGGCCAATGACATGACATGCCATGTTGAAATTCACGTCAATGTGAAGTTCATTAACACAACATCGTAGGACAAAGAGCAACGCGCAGACACCCACACTACACCACCGCCAGACGATGCTTTCTAGAGGTGTGGTTTTCCTTCGGTGGCTTGGGGCCTTGTTGTTTCTTTTCTTGGCTTCTTCGTGCAATTCAGCAACTCCGACAGTCGTCGCCTGATCACGACCGGACTTCCGAAGACTGTTCCGAAGCTTCGACGGCACCCTCAACCCACAACCCTAAACCTACTGAAGCCCTTGCTTGAGGAGGGCACCTTCCTCCTCCTGGTGCGAGGGCCCAGAGGCTTCGCTGCTCGATTCGAACCTCTGAGGGTGCTTTTCGGAACATAGTGGACTCGACAATTCGAACAGGGTGTAGGGGTACATAATGTATATAGTATAGTATAGTAATGTAGGAGCTATAATAAGGGGATGCTAGAACTGATTCAGACAGCAGGGCTCCTGATCCAGGCTTGCGGAGTTGGGGAGTACCCGTTGTGTGCAGCTGATCTTCCCTTCCATCCCCGTCCAGACGGTACGTCAGCTCCAAGGGCGCTGAAAGTCACCGATGTGGATCGGAACTCGAAGCTTAAACTTACATGTGATGCAGAGAGAGACAGGCCGTTAAGAAGGACGGATGGATGGAGAACTATGATTTCCGAAACGCTTGCATGGTGCCAAAAGCCAAAGGTCACAAACACCCCAAAGTCTTAACAACCCGGGAACATCCGTCCCGGCCCTGAATCCCTCAGGCCCTAAACCCCGCTGCTTCCGCATGTGCTGCTAGCCTCCGGTGCGCCAGGTTCTCCGATGCCTTCGTATATGAGGGGCTCTGGGGATGCTAAGTAATGTTTTGAATATCACTACTATTGGTGCGGTCAACTGTTGTTCTGCTGCCGCTACTGTTACAATTATTACTACTACTACCACTACTGCTACTACTGCTACTACTACTACTACTGCTACTGCTACGGCTACTGCTACTACTCCTCCTGCAACTCCGACTTCAACTCCGACCCCTAGTTCTTCCAGCACCTCGAATACTTCCAGTTCTTCTACTGCAATTGCTGCTACAGCAATTACTACTACTACTACTACTACTACTGCTACTACTACTACTACTACTACTACTACTACTACTACTACTACTACTACTACTACTACTACTACTCTTACTACTACTACTACTACTACTACTACTACTACTACTACTACTACTACTACTACTACTACTACTCCTACTACTACTCCTACTACCACTCCCACTACGTCTGCGCCTCCTACCACTACTGCTGCTCCGGCTCCCGCTCGTGCTCCTCTCGTGCTGCTGCTCCTCCTGCTGTTGCTGCTACTGTTCGTTAGGTTGTTCTTCTAGTTTCTTGTGCTTAGCTTGCTCGTACTACCATAAGTGTAAGTTTTTCTCGATTGGTATCTTATGTCTAATTTGCTACCGTCGCTCCTAGCAAGTCGGTACTCATGGCATCCAAGTCTTGCTTGAGCAGCTGTAGACCCTACCAAAAGAAAGGAAATGGTGGTCAGGTGCAGCCAAAACGCCTACAGTCCCATGCGATTACATGTGAAATTGGGAGCCCTTCCGACTTGGATGCCTCTGGACCCGTGATCTGCGTTTGCCCCTCAAACTTCACAAGGATCCCGTTGAAGCATATTGGCCATTGAAGCTGACAGGCGCGCAAACACACGCACGCACACAGAGGTAGATAGATAGGTAGGCAGGTAGGCAGGTAGGTATGCCGATAGATAGCTAGCAGACAGGCGCAGGCTTGAGGTTACACATCTGCATACATGCCTAATGCTGCGTGAATTTAGGAGCAAACATGTAGATATAACGACATGTCTGCATCTATGGCTACGTCGTATACGAATAAATACGTCAAGTTCGCCATGTCAGGCCACAGGTGGACACATTAATGGTCTTTGTTCATGCTGGTTTTGTCTACCAATCTACTCACTCCGCGAGTTCTTGAATACCTCTTACTGAGGACTCAAATGCCAGAGCTCAACTGTGCCTTGCGGCTGCGGGCGCGGGATCGACTGCGGCTCCTCTTCGCAACGAAGGATGCTTTACAACCACAGCTCAGCCTGCTCGGCTGAGGCTTCTTCCTGCTGTAGAGCTGCAAGACTCATGCGTGTTGTCGGAACAGCATATGTCTTGTGTTCAACCGTGATGATCATCATATGATAACATGCGGAGGTCTGTGAAGCTGGCCCGAGTACTGCAACAGCGAACAGCTAAGCACCTCTCCCGTGGTTACATCAGGCGCATATGATGGACTCATGTCATCTCCGAAGCAGCTCCTGCTGCCACTTCGGCTCCTGGACCATGCGCACCGCACTCGGGAAACAAGTCGGGGCTTGGAAACTTGGGAAGGTTCCGATGCCCGCCTGCTTCGTCTGCGATGCCTGTGTCTAGGAGTCTCCTCCTCGATTTGCATCATCTCTTGTTCCTTCGGCATTCAATCAGGTAACAACAAGCGCGTCAGACCACAGCAGCTAATGCATGCGCTGCTCCTGCACCGCGAGCACGGGGGTCGGTGGCTCCTCCCGCTTCCACTTTTTGAACAGCATGTGGCTTCATGGCAGTCTGTTAATCTTTTTCAGGCCACAACACATCACAACACCTGGTGCAAACTTCCGCTGTCACGAGCGAAGACAGAGCAGAAATAGTCCTCTTGCTCGATTTGCTGCACGATGGCCTTCAAAGGTGAAGTGTCTCTGCAAGCATCCGCCATGGAACTTGCGAGTAAATGGCCTCATCCACTTGCGCACTTCCGACTGGAATGAAAGGCCTGGTCACAGCAAGTGTACGCTGGTTTCCAGTGCAGCATGTCTCAAAGGATTTTAACAGTTTGAAGCTGAGGCTATAGATCTCAGCTTCGAGTCGACAAGCTCCAAGCCGCGGGCTGAGCCAACGGCGGCGGTGGCGGCTGTGGCAACTCCAGCGGCTGGAGGAAGGGCACCTCTTCCCGCGATGATTCTCGACTCCGCTGTTGGGCCTCTCCGACAGTCTACGACTCGAAGCGGCAATACAAAAACCAAACAACTCAGGAAGAGGCAGGAGGTACTTCGCGTGCAACCGGAGGTGGCGGAGGCAGGCGACGAGTTTCCAGGAATGGGCGATTTTCCTTGGCCACAACTTCTGGGGGGAAGGTTCTACCCGGCGTGTTTCTCAATGCAGGTTTGCTGCAGCGAAAGCATGAGTGAGTGGCAGTTTTGCCCGCACCGGCTGGAGCATAACAAAAGCAGCGGCAGCTCCATTACCACTGCCACCGCCAGCTAACATGAAATCATCAACCGACAAACGAAATGACTACCTACCTACCTACCTACCTACTTACCTACCTAGCGACCTAGGCACTTCAACTACGACTCCGCCCACGACTCCGATGACGACTGCTACTGTTGCGTCTACTGCTGCTGCTACTGCTGCGGCTGCTGGTGCTGCTGCTATGGCTACCGCTGCCGCTGCTACAACAACTGATCTATCGCAAAGACATCCAGTTGCCAGGCCGGACAGAATGCCGAAGGTTGGTGGGCATGAAGCCAAACACATTCAAGCATCTGCCCCATGTGGCATACTGGTCGTGCCTGACAGCTTACAGAAGGAAGTCAAGTGTTGTGGGATATACGCAGGTGCTGCATGCACAGCAGGCAACTGCATGCTGCAGCTTGCCTCCGCTGCCTTTCTGCACCGCTGGAAGCTTCACTTGCGTCGGTGGCAGCTGCTCCCACAAAAGCCCCTGCGCATGCACTGAAATGCTGGCATTGCAAACCCAAATCTTTTGCTGTCGTGGCTTAGCCAGACCTGGTCGTCCACTATGTCGAGAAGTGCTTCGACGGAGGACTGTCCTGGGCTGCACCAGTTGTGTCTTTCGGTAGCAGGAACGGCTGCCCCAACTAAGGCAACGGCTGCTGCCGTTGCTGCAGCGCCAGGGCGCATTTGGCGGTCCATGTCCCACCTCGGCCGTGCGAGTCGCTATGCTTTGCATTTGGGAGTTTCCGACAACAGGGCACCCTAATGTAGTACCGTAAGGACCCCCAAATAAGGTACCCCTAATTTTCGGAAACTCCCATTTAGAAGGCAGGACAGGCCGAACTGCAAGCCAGAAAAAAATGGCATGCGCTGTAGGTTGGAGGCTGGGAGGCAAGGGTGCTTGGTGGGGACATGCCATGCAAGATCTGCTTCGAAGCAGGAACACGATGGAACTTGAAGGCCAATACTCTGTGCGAAGCCTGGAAGGAGAAAACACAACACCGCAGACCTCCCAATTTCTGGTTTGTCGCTCTTCATACCCGGTCTTAGAAGCTGCAAAGTTTGCTGACTTCACTGTTTGTTAATGTGCTTGGCCAGTCATGATCATGATGAACAGGATGACGACGACGATGTTTGATGATGAGCATGGAGGTGGTGACCTGCCACAGGAAGCATCTTTCCACTGCCGAGACGCTCCACAACAGCTGTTCTACATCCCCATAGATCTTCAGAGCGGACAAGCTCCATTTCTGGACTGCATCCGAGGAGCCACCACTCCTTGGTGCCACAGTCTGGCAAACAGCTGAAATCGCGACAGGGTTCACGGGAGCTGAAAAATCGAAAAAGCACAGATGCCAAGTCACCTCAACCTACTGCTATCTGTTTGCTAAGATTCCGGAGATCCAATCCGAGCCATCTGGTGACGAGCGCAAGCGAACTCGTGCAGCCACAGCAGGTGCTGTCGGAGGTGCCGCCTGACCAACGCAAGTGCTTGGGGGTAATCGGTGAATGCTAATCCTGCTAATCCTAAACCTGATGCCAGAAGAATCTATGCAGAAACCTGGAACCCGAAGTCTCAACTGCTTCGTGCCTGGCGTCCTTGTCGTGGAGTGAATTGGGCCCAGCGAACATCACGGGAATCCTGTGACAGGCACAGCTTCGCTGAACAACCGTGAGCATTGGGGTAATAGATCGTCTTGTATTAGGTAATGTACAGTGTACGGCAACTACAGTAACTACAAGTAGACGAGGGGTAGGGTTCACAGGGCTGTGTCGAAGCCTCGGATTCGCCGGACTGTCGCCGAGGAAGGCGCTTCAACTCTTGAACGGCGCCTGGCATTCTGTAGAAAACCATAAAAGATGGCATGAGGCATAGGGTTTGCAGTTTAGGATTAGTGCTTCGGGCGTTTAGCGTAGGACAGGCTGTACGAGCAAGAGCAAGACAACTCCAAGCAGCCCCGAAGAAGACCAAGTCGAACGCAAGCACAAAATAGTATAGGTAATTATTATTACTATTATTATTACTATTCTTACTATCATTATTATTGTTATTATTATTCGTGCAAGCAAGGCGCTTAGGTCCACAGCCACGGCCGTCTGGGACAGGTGTGCCAGGCCTGGAGCTCGAATCACTTGCACAAACAGGTTGTTATAATTATGAAACTTTGACTAATAATAGTTATAATAATAATGATGATAATAGTCGTTGTTACTCTTACTACTTTTACTATTGTTGAATCTTCATGATGCCGTCTGCATGATATCCGTCTGCACGGGAGTGCCTTGTAACAGGTCAAGGACTTGCCATGTTGCTCCAAAACTTCGGAACCAAAGGACACCCCGTGAAACGCAACCTTTAAGGGGCCAGCGAAAAAGGCGTGAGATGCCGATCTCGTGTTTAAGTCTGCTATTTCCGCCGCCCGACATTTCAGGATGAAGCCCTGGCCCAATTGTGTACGTTATGACTTTAAAACCTGTTCGTATGCACTCCAACATGATCGAACGGTGGGCTGCCAAGCCTTGCGTAGACTATCAAGGCGTTCATTACATTCGTTGGCTACCTGTGCTGTGATACACGTGTGCATGCATGCGGTACCCCTTAGTTGCTTCCGCACGCTCTGAGCCGAATGCGTGCCGCCAGCATCTCGGCCTCCTCAAGCGTTAGACCTGCTCAGCAACCCCAGGTGGCATCTTCTTTTGGCTCAGGGATTCGAACATTGAAACATGTGCTTCGCGCGGGGAGAAATCGCTGCATGGAAGCAGCGGAAGCCGCAGCAGAGGGACTTAGGGTCCAACGCTGTGCCACCGGGATCGCACCATCTTTGGGAGTCCCCGTCTGCAAGACCTCTTGGACCTGGCACGCTGGTTCTCATGCTGCGGTTCTGTTGCGAAGGGTGATGATCTGATGGCCAGATCAGAAGAGGCGTGCGGACTTTTTTTTGCCTGGATCGACAGAAAATTGGAAGCAAGAGGGCACAGGCCTAGGTGCTTGAAAATCTTTCCACAGAATTCGCCTTGGGCAATGCCAAGCGAGGAAACATCCGTGCCAGAAGATGGAACAAAGTTGAGCCTTCTGCTCAAAAGCTTGACGCTAGACTTGAAGCTTGAGGGCTTCTGTCCGACAACATCTATCGCTGAGTGCATAGAGCTGTCTTTTTCCATGAGAGATGGCAGTAAGAATAAGCATAACAGAACAGAACCATGTATCATTTACATGTGCACCTATGCACCAGCAAGTTCGCCGGAGCATTGTCGGTGCGGTAAGATCCCCCTCTGCACCAGCTTCGCTTCCTTGGTGGGCATACAATCTTGCACAAGTCTGGCCACTCACTTTGCGACTTCTTTGCAATCAAGTGGCCAACATTCCCATAACCTTCCACACTCAAGCTGCACTGAGCCGCAGCAAAAAACACACACTGGTGCAATCCTCCCTCTGGACTGATGGTAATTGCCAGAACTCAGTCTTTCAACAAAGAGGTAAAGGATTTTAAGCCACTAGGCAGTAACATCTAACAATGTTCTTGGGGTTTTAGGCTTAGCCCCTGGCCATCACACTTGCAAAACACTCACAGAAACACTTGCAGGTACACCAAGCTGATCAGGCTTGGCTTCCCTCTCTGATGCATAGCTTCGTTGGGTACGGTAGCATCAGAGAGCCGTACCCCCCTGCAAAAATAATGCATGTCAGCAAACCTTGGCAAACAGGAGTTCCACACACACACCCCGCCAAGCGGGGTAGCCTTTGATGGCATCACATTGTTGACAGACAGCAGTGCACATTTTACACTAACGGCCTCTCGATGTTGTATAGCACAGAACAATGGTGGTTGCGAGTCCCATTGATGGGTACGCAGCCTTACATACTGTTAAAGAAGATGATGGCCAGCATGGATGCTGGCAAGATCGAATTAACCATGCAAAAATTGACTTTCACGGAGAAGTGCTCCTCTTCCTTTTCCGAGGAGACTCAGAGCAATCAGTGCGATTGGAGGGAGCATTGGTGGTCTCAGGCAGGTGTGAGCTTGAGCTCCACAAACTGTCCGCAGTAAGGCGAGTTTGGATCCACTGCTGTGTGGCGGGGAACCACGTTTTCCACCAACGGTCTTGACCATCAGCTGCCGTGCTTTTAGACCAGTAGAAACGCCACGAAATCTGCGGAGAACGAGATCTGCTCCGGTCCGACATGATGTACTCACTAATCTCCACGGAAAGCCACAAACTACGGATATACTTCAGCGACATGCAGAGCATCAGAAACCAAGAGCAATTAGAGGCTGCGATGCTGTTTTGGCTTGGCCTCGCATCTGCTCAGAAACGGCTTCACGGAAACCAATTCTTCCACCAAAAAGAAGAGCCGTCAGCTGCAATGGAATTGGTCCAGTAGTATCGCCATGAAATGGTTGGAGAACGAGATCTACTGCGATCAGCCATGGCGAATTTCTCTGAGAGCCAGGACTTAAAAACTGGATCGCAGATAAAATATTGAGAAAAGCCGAAAGCAGCAAACGTTTTTTCAGCTTCGCTGCAGCAAGATGATTATGGCATGTCAGCCAGAGGTGAAATGACACGGAACACTCTCAAATCGGCGATGAGAGTAGAGCTCACGCGAAAACGATCTTCGCGACCAGTGCAAAGCCAATCGAAAAAGATGGATTTCTGCTGAGATTGCAGCAGCAATTGCCGAAAAGCAATGTACAGTGTCCCTTCATAGAGATAAAGAACAGAACGAAGGAAGACTCGGTTTACCGCACCATAAAAGGTGGTCTGTGGCATTGGTGCCGAGTTGTACATTACAGGTACATAAAGTACATTGGGCCAACCAGGTGGCTGTGCTGGGCACTCCCTTTGTACAAAATGTTCGCGAATGGAACTAGGCAATCAAGCCCTGAACTGCGTATGATTGCTCCGTAGAGCATTTTCGAGTTTTAGAGACCAAGAGGTCTTGTTTTAGGTTAAAGCCGATCAGGGCTTGGACCGATCAGGGTCCTGTGATTTTGACTAGGCCGATCAGGGCCAGGCAGTAGGCTACCCTACCGTAGACGACACGATCGACGAAAGCCGTCTAGAGCACACTCGTGCAATCCTCCCTCTGGACTGATGGTAATTGTCAGAACTCAGTCTTTCAACAAAGAGGTAAAGGATTTTAAGCCACTAGGCAGTAACATCTAACAATGTTGGCTTGGCTTCCCTCTCTGATGCATAGCTTCGTTGGGTACGGTAGCATCAGAGAGCCGTACCCCCCTGCAAAAATAATGCATGTCAGCAAACCTTGGCAAACAGGTGTTCCACACACACACCCCGGCAAGCGGGGTAGCCTTTGATGGCATCACATTGTTGACAGACAGCAGTGCACATTTTACACTAACGGCCTCTCGATGTTGTATAGCACAGAACAATGGTGGTTGCGAGTCCCATTGATGGGTACGCAGCCTTACATACTGTTAAAGAAGATGATGGCCAGCATGGATGCTGGCAAGATCGAATTAACCATGCAAAAATTGACTTTCACGGAGAAGTGCTCCTCTTCCTTTTCCGAGGAGACTCAGAGCAATCAGTGCGATTGGAGGGAGCATTGGTGGTCTCAGGCAGGTGTGAGCTTGAGCTCCACAAACTGTCCGCAGTAAGGCGAGTTTGGATCCACTGCTGTGTGGCGGGGAACCACGTTTTCCACCAACGGTCTTGACCATCAGCTGCCGTGCTTTTAGACCAGTAGAAACGCCACGAAATCTGCGGAGAACGAGATCTGCTCCGGTCCGACATGATGTACTCACTAATCTCCACGGAAAGCCACAAACTACGGATATACTTCAGCGACATGCAGAGCATCAGAAACCAAGAGCAATTAGAGGCTGCGATGCTGTTTTGGCTTGGCCTCGCATCTGCTCAGAAACGGCTTCACGGAAACCAATTCTTCCACCAAAAAGAAGAGCCGTCAGCTGCAATGGAATTGGTCCAGTAGTATCGCCATGAAATGGTTGGAGAACGAGATCTACTGCGATCAGCCATGGCGAATTTCTCTGAGAGCCAGGACTTAAAAACTGGATCGCAGATAAAATATTGAGAAAAGCCGAAAGCAGCAAAAGTTTTTTCAGCTTCGCTGCAGCAAGATGATTATGGCATGTCAGCCAGAGGTGAAATGACACGGAACACTCTCAAATCGGCGATGAGAGTAGAGCTCACGCGAAAACGATCTTCGCGACCAGTGCAAAGCCAATCGAAAAAGATGGATTTCTGCTGAGATTGCAGCAGCAATTGCCGAAAAGCAATGTACAGTGTCCCTTCATAGAGATAAAGAACAGAACGAAGGAAGACTCGGTTTACCGCACCATAAAAGGTGGTCTGTGGCATTGGTGCCGAGTTGTACATTACAGGTACATAAAGTACATTGGGCCAACCAGGTGGCTGTGCTGGGCACTCCCTTTGTACAAAATGTTCGCGAATGGAACTAGGCAATCAAGCCCTGAACTGCGTATGATTGCTCCGTAGAGCATTTTCGAGTTTTAGAGACCAAGAGGTCTTGTTTTAGGTTAAAGCCGATCAGGGCTTGGACCGATCAGGGTCCTGTGATTTTGACTAGGCCGATCAGGGCCAGGCAGTAGGCTACCCTACCGTAGACGACACGATCGACGAAAGCCGTCTAGAGCACACTCGTGCAATCCTCCCTCTGGACTGATGGTAATTGTCAGAACTCAGTCTTTCAACAAAGAGGTAAAGGATTTTAAGCCACTGGCAGTAACATCTAACAATGTTCTTGGGGTTTTAGGCTTAGCCCCTGGCCATCACACTTGCAAAACACTCACAGAAACACTTGCAGGTACACCAAGCTGATCAGGCTTGGCTTCCCTCTCTGATGCATAGCTTCGTTGGGTACGGTAGCATCAGAGAGCCGTACCCCCCTGCAAAAATAATGCATGTCAGCAAACCTTGGCAAACAGGTGTTCCACCCACACACACACACACACACACACACACACACACACACACACACACACACACACACACACACACACACACACACACACACACACACACACACACACACACACACACACACACACACACACACACACACACACACACACACACACACACACACACACACACACACACACACACACACACACACACACACACACACACACACACACACACACACACATGCCGAAGCTTCGGATCATCGATGACGTTTGATCGTCTGAACAAGGAGTGAGTAGGGCTCTGACATCATCGACCATGCCGTTGATGCGAAGAGCTGCGATGCTGTCACAAGGAGTTGCCTGCACGGAGTGCTTTCGGACCAGTCAAGGGGCGAAACTCGGACGCATGAGCTCAAACCGCGCAGGCGGATCGGCCTGGAGGTTCACGATCACCAGGCCAGCATCCTGCCTGCAGCATCGCTGACATGCTCCGTGGGATGCCCTGTACACTCATCACATTGGCCTGTGAGGCACAAAGAAACAGTTCCGCAATTTCAGCAAGAAGTACTGGTAGTGCCACAACCGCAGCGATACCTGACCTGGACCATACCCGCCCTTTTTCAGTTTTTGACACGGCCTGCGCGAATTGCGCTGTGCGACCCAGGCTGGCATTTCTGATGCAGGGGTCACCTGAATACGAGCTTTACAAGGCACAGGTACACATCCTTCTGATCACCACAGAGCAACACCAAAAAGCGGACGATGAGCTGAGATGCAGTTATTGAGCTGCCCAGCGCCAGGCAGAGATCAGCGGCTTCGGCCTCGTCCCAGGCCTTTTGCACCACCTTCTGGGGGAGGTCGTCGCCGAACCCGACCTTGATTGAGCAAGTCGGCTTGCTAGCAACATTCTGGAGCTACGGTAGTGTGTGTAATGACT